TATTGGTATGGTGGCCTGAGCAGATGAATGACTATAGCATCCTATTAACCTGTTCTTTTTTTCTTATTTTTATCTTATGTGTATGAGTGCTTTGCCTGCATGGATGTAAGTGCACCATGTATGTGCAATACCTTCAGAGGCCATAGAGGGCATTGGATCCCCTGGAAGTGGACTTACAGACTGTTGTGAGCCACCATGTGGGTGCTGGGAACTGAACCTGGGTCTTCTGAAAGAGCAGCCAATGCTCTTTACTGCTGAGCCATCTCTCTAGCCTTGTATCATCCTGTTCTTGAAGTTCTATTTCAAGTGTTCCTGGAGAATACAAAAAAATGGCTTGCTTCTCTAGAGGAAGCATTATACATTTGAAGAGGTTCTAAATTAAGAACTACACAATTGAATTTCCTGTCATGATTCAGCTGCTTAACTCTCTATGTGACCTCAGAGCAGTCATTTAAGTTTTTCAGTCTATATTTTTTGTAGTATATTAAATCAGAAAGTGTCTGTCATCAATATTTCATATTAAAACACAGCACAGTCATAAATATCTGCCATTCATGCTGTATAATGGCAGCTGACTCACTTCTGGTGCCTGAAAGTCGTTTCATTGGCTGCCTGCTTCTTGGAGCTGTAAGTAGGCTTCTACAATGTGTCCACAACACTGCTCCTAAGGCAGCCTTGCTCCACAATTTATTTAAAACTTTTAGACTCTTTTCCTATATTTCCCTCAACTCCAGTCATCTTAGCAATATTTCAAATTCTGGTTGCTATCTCTTCCATTTGTACATCCAAAGGGCATCTTACTGCCCTTTCTTCAAAGTGTTACATCTACATGGAACGTCAATCTCGCCACTCTTCTTCCAGGTTTACTTAGGATAGATTAATGATTAACTTCTTCAAACATGCCCATGTCTTCTGGATTCAGTGACATACTGGCCCTTGACCTTCAGAATTTCTCAAGACATTCTCCCATTCTTTTCTTCCCTTCCATTGACAAGTTCCTAGATCTTAGTAGTCATATCTTCTCCTGATGACTTTTTTATAATCTATTTTCCATCAAAATTATGGATTTAATCTTTCATTAACATTTTGATGGCAACAGCCTATAACACTTACCAGTACTTCAAGGTATCCCTTACAAGCCATTACTCCCTTAAGTAATGTTTCTTTAATCCCCAAAGAACTTAGTCACTTAGTCTCTTTTTTGTCAGCTTACTTATATTCACTGTGGTTTAATTATTGGAGCATTCTTTTTAGATTATTAGCTCTTTAATATCCTCAATTGCAAGTACACTAATTATTTAGTAAATGGTCAACAAATGCACTAATTAGCCAGATGATTTCAGTATAATGTAGAGTTTGATTTTACTGGGACAGATAAAGTGCTTGGGGGACAGGGGGTAGAGTTCAAATTTTGAAGAAAGTAAAGAGTATCTAGGCTTGTGCAAGAAATAAAGGGGCTACAAGCCTAATTGGCATTTTCTGCCTTCAATGAAACAAAGTAATATCAGGCTCTAGTGGATTGTTTGGCATGGCACAAAGTATTTGGAAAATGTTTGTTGAATTACCAATAGTATGAATGCTAAAATTGTTCCTTGATGTATACTGCATAGTAAGAATTAGAAACTTCATGAAAAGAAACCAAATATAGAATTTAAAAGGCAACGATGATTCTGTAATTTTGGGAGAGCAGAAGACTGCCTTTGAAGCACAGAATTCATTATTATTTCAATCTTCCGTATGGGCTCTGCACCTAAGAAGATGGTTAAAGTTAAGGATGTTAGAGAACTCTGCACAAAATCGGTGGGAGACTCAAAGGGGGCTCAAAGTGTCAATAAATATATGTAATTTCAACTGTAGAGGAATAAAGGCAATTGTGAGTTTAGGTTACAGAGTGAAATGATTTCTGCACAGATGTCTAACCAGCATCTTTTCTTTGGACTTTTAGAAGGAATTGTGGCTTCTTTTTTTTTTTTTTTTTTTTTCTATACTAATAACAGAACTTTTAAAAAAATTTAGCTACTATTACTTTAGGGTTATAGACCAGGCAATGACCTCAGGGTTTCTAGTCATGTCAGATCATTTAATCCTACAACAGTGTAAGAGGTGGGGTTATCTTTATACTTTCTTGGAAGCAGCTAGAATCACAACATGGAATACTCAAGGTGTCAGAGCTGACAGAGGTCAGGCCTGGGATCAAGGGGCAGAGCCGAATGAAGTCTTCCTATCCCAAAACCCAGGGCCAAATTCAAGCACATTGGAAAGGGAACACTATAATCTCAATTTCCTCATGAAAACTTCTTTCATGAGGAAGTTGAGATTAAGATGTACTTGGATCAATGTGTTTCAGCAAAGGCCATTTCAGCCTTCATAGACTCTGATCCATTATCTACTGTCTGGAAACTTCTCTTCAAGGTTTAGCTGTTAAACTTTTAAACTTTAACATTTTCCCAAATCTGTCCTCACATAATTAACTCTGACTTCTAGTCACTTGCCTAAAATATTGTGTCAGACAGACTTGAATGACAGAATGTCAGTGATATATGTTAATTAGCTACATTCATGCTTTTCAATTATACCCTGCAAGCTGTGGGCATGACTTGGCTATATTGTTTGATAATTGCTAAATAAATTCATTTATAGGATAGCATTTATGGTATAGAATATCTAATGCTAGAAGGAAGCTATTATATAGGAAGTAAGACTCAAAGCAAATAGTAACACAAAAGACTTTATATTAAGAATCCTCTCTGGAGATGGAGAGATGGTTCAGTGGTTAAGAGCACTCTGACTGCTCTTGCAGAAGACCTGGGTTCGATTCCCAGCAACATGGTGGCTATCAACCATCCATAACTCCAGTTCTAGAGTATCCGACACCCTCTTCTGACTTCTGCAGGCATTGCACTCATATACATGAAGTAAAAATGTTAATAGAAGAATCTTCTCTGTATCTAACACATCTAACACAGTTAAAGAGACCATATTATCTTAGGTGTTTTTTTTCCTACAAAAAACCTACCTTGCAAGGCTAACTCATTGAGATTTAATATTTTATTTTACTTCTTTTGAGGAAAAAAAAAAACTTCTCAGAGAGGGTGTATCATTCAACCAAATGTAGTCAGTAGTCCATACAACTAACTCCACCTGACTTTTTTGTCCCTGTCCTGTTCACTGACTTTCAAGCTAGCCTGGCTTGAATATGACCATGATGTGAAATATGTTAGTCAAGTTCCCCTGAAGCTCTTTAATGTCTTTGTTCCCTCATCTCTGAAGTGAAGAAAACACTTCAAAATACTATCTATTTCTCAGGGATTAAACATATTACATAGATCAAAGCAATAGAGCACCTGGTGTATCATAGACATTGATAAATCATTTCATTACTTCAAGTAAATGATCTGAGATAATAACTATGAAAAGAACTTTGCATAATTTGGCATCACTGACCCTGATTTGTCCCTCATTCCCAAGAGAATCAATAGTACATCCATCACATTAATGAAATCTGAATATATGTAAAGCTACATTTTCAAAATCCCAATGTCTTGAAAATCAGATAGAGGACAGCTGTTTAGTTAAATATAAATTTCTGACTCCCGGTGAAAAACATAGGGTACCACAGTGATTACCCAGCTGGCAAAGTAAAGCATATGTTTAGGGATCCAGAGATATGAAAAAAGTACAAGCTCTAGCTAGGTATGAAGGATCTGATAAACAGAAGCTCCAGAAAGAAATTTAAAATTCAAGCACTCTTTGAAGTTTTGTTTTAGGATTCAGACCCCCCCTCCCCCAGTAAGGTGGAAAGCTTGGAAAAAAAGATATCTAAAGTATTCTATATTTAAGGCTGCATATGAACATAATTCTTGACTACTGTTCAAAGTTTTTTGGGTTATAGAAAACAGTAAAAAGGTATTAAATATTGTTAATAACATACTGTCCAACAATCTTTTTCAGAACACACTGCTTCCACTATCTTACCTTTTCAGAACACAAGTTTTCCTCTTGGTTAGTCTGTGACGGCAGTCAAAACAAGAATGCTACAGTTATAGTGAAGAATAATGCCATACATATGCCACTTTATACTATGTAATTAGTAACTGGTCAGAGTGTTCTTTATCATAGGAAAGTGGTCCTAGCTTGCTTGACTTTTAATAAAATAAGACCTACTTAGCTGTAGTGCAAGATGTTTCCCAAATGTTAAAAAAATTGCATCATCAGACAAGGTTTTGGGAAGAACATTTTATTGCTAAGCATATCCTTGAACGAAAATGCAAATATGAAATAAAAGAGAAAAGTAAAAAGAAAAAAGCAGCAACATCACAACATCATAAAATAAATTCCTTTAGGGCTTGCTAATGAAAGAACAGGAGTATGAAGAAAGCTCACATACAGAATGCACGTGTTCCCATAAAATTGTCCAAATAGAAACTTATACTAAAAGGAATATAAAGAATGTGTTTTTACTCAAATAAAAGTATGTAAAGAAAGAAAGAAAGTAGGAGATCAGTTCACAAGACCTCAAGACTCCAAGAACAGCAATCTTTTACAAACATCAAGATATAATCAGCTTCATATAGGCTGGGCCATTTATCTAAAATCGTGCTTTGATATCTTTTTATAGTCCTGTCTTTGCAATGACAACAAAAATAAAGAAAACCCTTAACACATTGAAATCTCAGATACGGAGGAATACCTCTTTCCATCCACATTAGTGAAGGGTACCATTGTTTTAGATTGCACCTTTTGCCCCATGTCTTTAAGATATATTTTTTTTCCAAAGTCAAATACTCATGCAACTTACAAAGACCAGCAGGAGTAGATTTCTAAACCTAAACAGCTGATTGATTTTCATCTGTACAAAAGAAATTGTATTTGTCTGACCCGCCAGAGGACAAACTCCATTTCTATGCAAACATTTGTCTTGCTTTGTCTTCTTGCTTTCTGAATAGTTATGGCCACAAAACCAGTTTACTAGTACTCTGTACATTGTTTCCTCTTTACAAAAAGAAGACAAAAAGACAACTTTGGAATACAAACCAAACAAACTTAAATCAGCAAATAGAAAGGAAACAACAGTTTTTAAAGCAGTATATACATAGGTGACTAAGGAATTATACCAGCAAAAATGTAGTAAAATATGTAAACAAAATCTGAGAAGTTTTTTGTTGTTGTTTAAATTCTCTTTGACACAGTTAACTGTGACAAAATGAAAACTCACACTTTCTTCACATTTTAAGGTTTACTTTTTTGTTGTTTTGTTATTTTCTTTTAAAATAACGTTCTCATTCCACTTCGAGACTTTAACAGAGTTCTGTGTCAGTCATCCCATCAAACATACCATGATAAATATATCTGTATATATATTTATTTATATATATTATACTATTAAATTCCTTTTTGTGTGTGTCACAGCAGCTTTATTCATTCATTTATTTGTTTTTAAAAAAGATGGGTGAAGGAAGAGGCAACAAGATGAAAAGTTAGTTATTCACATCAGGCTACAAAATTAAACCAGTATGGAAATGGAAACCATTATGTTGGGGGCGGGGAAAGAACTATGTATTTCACATTTGCTTCATGACTTGGCTTGTGTGACCTTTTGTGGTTGCATTACAAGTTGGGAACTCCCCTACTGTCTGTGTTGATTATTTAACAGACATTAGTATTGTCTTTTCTTTTTTTGTTTGCATGCATTTCAATCAATTGAAGATCCAGCCCACCCCCATTCCTTTCCCTAGGAAAGGTTCCGTTTGTATTTGTGGGGCTAATCTTTCCCCTTTCACACAATTTGGGTTAATGGACAGAAACAATATTTGTTAAGTAAAACCAGTAGCTCTGATAAAACCAGCCCAAAACCAATGTGTTCAAGGTTTTGGGTGGCAAACACTGGAATTATGTCTTGGGGGACTAGCTTTTCAAATCAATATTATCAACTGTCACATGGGTTCATCAAAGCGTTAGGAAACAAACAACAGATTCTAGAGACACCACAACCTGATTCATGGAGTGAATGCCATGCTAGCTTTGAAGTTCATATGGCAAGAGTCTCTCGTACATTTTGTTGTCTGAGTTTTTTCTCTCTTCTTCCTATGTTCAGTCATTGTCAAAAAATAAACAAAAACTCAAAAGCCATGTTCCCCTTAGAACTTGAAAAGTTACACACACGCTGGCCAGAACCAGGTAAGGGTGTTTCTGGTTTTTTGTTTTTGTTTTGTATTGTATTGTTTTTGTGTTTTTTAAAGCATTTTTCTTTTCTAGTTTTTTTGTTTGTTTTTATTTTTTACATAATTAAACCAAAAAAACCCAAAAACCAAAAAACAAACCAACATTGTTACAATCAAGCTTCACAAACATCATTACAGACTCACTTGGAATTATGGAACAAATGAGTCAGAGTCCTCTACCCTTTGAAAAAAGGCCCTGGAGACTACGAGAAACTTCCAAGTTCATGTACTTGGCAGAGCCATTGGCTTGCTCCAGGGTGCTAAGTGTGTGCTTTATAATACAGCAGGGCAGAGAGAACTTGCTGTCTCTGGCCATGACTGCTACCTTTGCAGCATGGCTGAAATTTACAGGGAGATACACCATCATATGTGTCCTTTTAAAATGGTTTTCCCCATCATAGTCATGGTATACCCCATCTCATAGTTAGAACACTTCTGACATCTGTTAAATCTCATTGCCAAAGTTCAGGTATGTGTATATAAATAATTCTGTTTTAAATTCGCGTCTGATCAGTACTATGTTTACACATAATATTCTTTGTCCTTGTTTTTCTGTTTCTTGTGGCCGCTCTTTGAGCTCGCTTGCTTCTCCTTCATGAGCGTGCCATTGCTCTGGGCCGAGTTGCTGATGTAGTTCCGCGTCTCGTCCACTTGATAGGACCCCTCGTCCCTGTTCCTGTACTTGTACATGGCGTACAGGAGGATCAAGATGCAGAGGGCGGCAGCAGCCACAATGCCGACGACCATCCCTGTTGTACTGCTGGACTCCCGGATCACCTCTGAGGCCCCCGGAACCCGTCTGATTCCCGGCTCCGTGGGGTTTGCTGTGGGCACATTACGGAACATGGGGGAAGTAATTAGTGGGTTCTTCAGTTTGGTGCTGTCTAGCTCATAGGCAGTGGGCAACGGAAGCAAGACTATATCAGGCTGGGGTTTGAGATCACGGTTATTCATTTTGCCAGCTGGCAATTTGGGCACCATCCCAGACGAGGAGGAAGCTGTGAAGCGGATCAGCTCAGGGGACAAAGATGTGGTAGTAGTCCTACTAGTTTCCGAGACTTTGTTAGGTCTAAAGTCCTTGGATTCCCACTTGGGCGCATGTGCTTTGTAGCCACCTTCGAAGATTGAAGTGGAAAGACTCTTATCTGTTACCAAGGAGAAGGTGGTGTAAAAATCTTCATCATCAGTAGGGGGCAGGTTAGAGTCAAAGGTTTCCCCTGAGCCATACCCAGATATCACCAAGCCATCATCATCACAACCTTCGCTGCCTTGGTCCGACAAGCAAGGTAACCCCGCCTCAGAGGTCATGGACAGGGAATCTTTGGTGGTCTCAATAATGGTGAGGAGGGGGCGGAAGGTAGGGGGGAGTGTAATGGAGGGTACACGAGTAGCAATAGCAGGGGTAGCTAAAGGGTCTTCTACAAGAAGAGGGATAACTAATTCACCTCCTGGGATTGAAAAGAAAAGAGAAAAACAGAATTAGTACAATCATAAACACAGTTCATAGGCACTCTAATGAATGCTGAGCAGAGGTTAGGCCTCTGAAATTGCTGTAAACTGACCCAAATTCCCGTATGGTTCTTTTCTGACTATAGCCGTATTCATTCAGAGGTTGATTTAGAGTCAATATTTCACCTCTGGCCACCCAAACTTGGAACCCTGAGATAGGAGGCTTAGATTTTAAAGATACTCTCAAGTAATTATATTGATAGAATTCAAATATGCTGTTTCCAGGATTTGCTTATGAGATGATGACTTTCAAATAATGATGCTCTTAGAAACACTATCAAGACTGAGTGTGTGGGTGCATGCACATACATTATGAGTTTTGCCTATAACATTTCTCTATTGACATCTTGGGTTTCTGTTTAATGGCTCTCACGAGAATGAAAATGATCTATTCTTTATTAGTAAGACCAAGATCAAGTTCAAAGAACATGAAAGACTTCTCCCACTTCTTAGTGGCTGTCCTCATTTCCAACTAGCTAAGTGACAGGGCAAATAACATGTTTATAAAGTTCATTTGACAAATACATTTAAACTAAGTTTTTCCAGAAACTCCTTTGATTCTTAAAATGTCAACTTGCCTTGCATTGGTATAAGATGTGTTTATGTACAGCTTTTATGCAATATGCAGTATATGCTGAGTTGGAAGCTAGATTTTAAAAATACCCAGCGTAGATATCCATGAGTGGCTGGAAATTTACTGTTAGATTCACAACTGTTGACTTAGCAAAGGAAATTTTGAAATAAGTGATTTCTCACTAGAGAGGCAAATGCATACTGGCTTACCCAAAGACCCTTGTTATTACATTCATGAACACGTGGACTAAGGAAAGAAAGTTCAGAATAGTTTATTAAAACACGTTGCCTTGCAAATCACAGATACAACAAATATGTTGCAAGGGAAATTTCTCATTTAACTGTAAGACCAAGATTTTTCACCAATGTCAGCAAAACAAACAAGATTTCTTTTGCATCTCTTTTCAATGTTGATATCCAAGCCAGAGAATAATCTCGAGAATTTGTGACTCGTGTTCCTTCATGGCATTTATTCCTGAAAAGCATTTTTTCCAACCATAACTTAAAAACAGAAATTATTTTAAACGATAAAGGCTCTTTTCAGATTCTGTGGAGAGATACCTGAGTGAGGTTGCAGGTGAAATATCCTTCAGTAACCTGGCCACTTGCAGGTGAAGATCTGGGACAGGACAGTCAGCAGCAACCCCGGAGTAAAGAGAATTCTTTGCTTTAATTCACTTTGAGGGGAAAGGTTTCTGAGCTGAGGAGGGTCTCTGAGCTTAAAGGAGAGGAACCTGGGAACTTAGTGCATTTGAGAAGGTACTAGATAGAATACAAGGTGTGTCTGATCCCCTCTACAAGGGCAGCCTCTCTGATCTAACAAAAGCATCTACCAGGAATGGCATAATTTCACTCCCCAGTTAGAAAGTTGAGATGCCAATACAATACCATAGATGGGCTCTTTCTAGGCTGAGTTTAATGCCTTAATGTGTACTGCTGTTGGCAATTAATTATTTAACTGAGATGGGATGGCCAGTGTTAGAGTATCTGTTAACCAACAGAATCACTGCTCAGGTGCCCCTATCTATCAGTGACAAGGCCAGACAGGGATTTGCAGCAGCTCAATACTGCAGAGTTGGAACATTACAGGGGGGGGCAAATCTTTGACTTTATAGTCTGCCAAGGTTCTTCCTGTAAAGATTCATTCTTAGAACTCTTACATTCAGCATGCCGTGTCATGTATTTTTAAACATTTCCTGAGGTTCAGCATTATTGCATCTACTCTGTCCACTTTTCAGGTATGCTAAATGGAAGGTCAGGGTGCACACACATCAAAAGTCTTTGGCCACCTCCTGGTCTAGCCAGTATCTGTGTTATCCAATTAGAAACTGAGTTGGTCAGGGAGATGATAGTATAAATTTTATACATCATCCAGAAAGGAATGGACAACAGAGATTTGCATGGTTTTCTCTAACCTGACTTAATTTTATGAGGGGAGGTAAAATAAGAATCTTACTGAGAATCTCAAGGCAGTCTGTACTCTAAACTCAAGTTTCTATTCTAATGTTCAGAGTTTGAAATGTTGAGCAAAATGATCTTTGCAGATTTGCCAGTGGACCAGCATGCCTATTTTTCTACATTGTGAACATATATAATTCATATACCTAGCGACTTAGTTAATACATAATTTAGACAATTTTGCTAGTTTTTGTAAATGGGATTTGGAGTGCAATTCCCTAAAGATAAGCTAGTTCTAAAAACGGCTCCTGAACAAAGTATTTTCCTATTTTTCTGGTGGTGGGGTAGGGACTCACATGGTACGTTCAAAGTGGGCTGAGAAGAGAGCAGTGTTTGAACAAAGGCTAGCAGCTTTGACAGAGACGAGATTTTACTTTACTTCCCATTAGAGAAAAGGACTGGATTTTTAAAAATTAAATAAAATTGCTTAATCTTCTCTCTCTCTCTCTCTCTCTCTCTCTCTCTCTCTCTCTCTCTCTCTCCCTGTCTAACCCTCCTGCTATGGTTTCCTCATTTAAAATGTCCCCATTTTCCTCATTTCTCCATTTATAATACTAGTCTCTCATGGT